TTCTACCAAGAACAACGTCACAATCGATCCGGTAAAGGTACGTTTGGACAGCGCTAATCGAACTTTGCTTGGCCGCTTCACGTACAGTCCAGACCCGCTGATTTATTCCATTTTTCCGCTAGAAACATTCAGAAGGTACGAACGCGTTTTTCGCCTTTACCAACGATCTAAGCGTAGTCTGTTGCTTTCAGTGGTGGAAGGTCATTGTATTTACGCGGTAGCTACTTGAACGCCATTCAGAGACCATTAATGTACTTCATTGACGAAATCGGACAAATCCAGAGCGAGACTGCGGTATATATCTTTGTCTTGAATTAACTGTTAGTTTTATTTGATTTTTCGTCTCCTTAAGGAACGTTGAACACTTACCATAAACTAAGATATTATTGTTGCTTTACGAAAATTGAAATGTTTTGGCGTACGACCAAGATTTCATCTAATGTTGCTAGACTTTCAGACTCGATACTACTTCCATTGTTGAAAAAGTAAGTCATGAGAGCCGTTTTCGAATCAGGCGAAAAATTAAGATCTCGCTTGTGGAAGACTAACTGCAAGATTAGTAGAGAAGAAAAGACGTATGGAATTTATTCCAGAAATTGCACAGAATGCAAACTGACTTGGTTCAATCAATTTTGGTTCAGCCGTCATACCATTACGAGCCAAGATGGTAGAACACATGGAACCACCTACCATGTCGAACCCAACTATCGAAGAAAAGCGACCTTGGAGGCAAGCCTTATACCGGCTGTTCACCAAATTTTCAGTAAACACGGTATCGATTTTAACCACCAAACCGTAGCAACAACGGTTGGTAACTACAAGGAACGGTTAGCTGCCGAAACGCTTTTATTCCAGTCAAGTCCCGGCGTCATGAACGAACGACGGTATTTATTTCGCTCCGTCATTGCGAAACTTATGTACTTTAACGACAAAGGAAGGGAGACAGTTGTGATCACATCCTGAATTTCTCATATTACCGTACCACCGTATACAGTTGATGAAAGCTGGTAGCGTTAGCCGAGACGTTGGTCATGTGCCAAGAATTTTATGCCGCGTGTATTTCGAATAATTTCATAATGCCTTAGTTATTATTCAACCCAGGATGTAAAGTACCTGTATACATGTCTGTTACTTTTCAGATATGCAAAGTGGTCAACGGCAGTTTCATGATATGTCCCAGTCCGCGGCTTATTCCGATAGTCGACCGGGTCCGTCGGAGCGACTTCAAGTTATTGGACTACATCGAACCGAACGAGCTTGTGACCGGAGAGTTTCAGCTTCCATTGGACAGTGGCGATTTCCGACGTTTCGGCATCGGTTTCATAATGGACGGCGTAAAGTCGGTGAAAAACCTTGGCCAGAGCTTGGCAATCACCGTTGTTCCGGATCCCGTGTATCACGGTTTTGACGGACAGCAGAAAATCTACCGCGAAGGACCGCTGATCATTGCAGTACGTGTTTTCGAATGTTTTATGGGCTGAGCTGTAAGTTGTCCGTGCGTGCTATGCCTGAATGGAATGAGGAGATGCCACAGGTGTAAACTGATACTTTACTGCAGCCCCTCTTTTATTAAAACATAAAGCCTAGTTTATCTTGTTTGCTCTAAGGAGCACACGAAGAACGAAGACAAAATACTGTGAAATGTACTTTTTTCAGCACCTGTTGTAGCTACCCAACCCTGCCATTAAGTGTGAAATATCGGAATAGGCGATGAATATCAGGCAGAAGTACGTTAACCATAGACCCTGTCGAAACTGTTGAGGCCAACCCTCATGTTTTTGCTTGAAAAGAACGCTATGAAGCATGTGTCAGCTACTCTTTCATATTTCTTAAGTGGCGGAAACACAATTTAAGAACTTCGCCGGCTTATAGTTCAGTGCGGGTTTCATGCTTGGAAGTCGTGAACAGTGTTTATGCTGTATATTTTACACTTGTAAAACCTCTTCGATTGCCAAGTTGGTTTTAGCTAAATTTGTGCTTTCAAGAATAATCTTGAAAGTACCTTGTTATAAGTGACCTGCAGGTGATCCATATTTGTACCTGATCATCTGTTTAATTTCAGGGCAAGTACTTAAATCTGGCCAGCTCTAGTAAAGAAGTTATTGTCACCGTTGGAAGCAAACCGTGTAACGTAACGCTGATTGTTCCGTCTCAGCTGGTGTGTCACCTGCCTGTCAGAGAGCCTAGGCAAGTAGCTAGTTCCGACGGTACGGATGACGAAGACTCTGACGAGGGGCTGGTGACTGTCAAGGTTGGCAATCTGCAGTACAAACTTGGTAGACTGGTTTACGAGTCGCAGCCGGTATTCACGTCCGTAAGCATGAGTCTGATGGGCGGATTGGTCGGTGGCTTGTGTTCCCTGTTGTTCATCGGCGTCGTTGCGGTGGCCATGTGGTGGAGGAGGAAAAGTTGGCAGGCCGAGCGAGACTACAAGCGCATACAGATGCAGATGGACTCGTTGGAGTCGAACGTCCGTCAAGAGTGCAAGGAGGCGTTCGCAGAATTGCAGACAGACATATCGGACCTCACCAATGACCTGCTGGCTCTCGGCATTCCCTT